TATGTTTTAGCCTCCAGTCCCCTAATCCTCTTTGTTGCTCTTCTCTGCACTCTTTCTAGCGTCTCCAAATCTTTTCTACATTGCGATGACCAAAACTGAATGCAGTTTTGCTCTGCTTTGCTCTATCGTATCCTATTCTTTCCTTTCCTATCCTATCCATTCCATTCCATTTTACTCTATTCTACTTTTATTTTATATAAATAATATCTGAGTCTTGCTTGACATGTCAACCCGAAGTTTAACTGCAAGTACTAAATAGCTAACTTGTAAACATAATCTAAATGAAAGCAAAATGGCTAGTAGAAGGCAAGAAGCCCCAAGCAGTTCCGTTTTCCAGACGATAAATATTGTTGGATATTTAAATAAAGAGAATATTTATAGCTCAGGGTTGAACCATTTTGGTCTCTGAGTTCATATCAAGCCCAGACAGCACCAAGGACTCCAAATATTGTGGGTGCCTGCAGGAGAGAGTTTCTATTATTATTATTATTATTTTGATCCTCGAGATATTGTAGTAATTTTGACAAGGATGAAACTGGTAATTTTATTGTCAACCTTTTACACCTTAATCATAAGTACAATGGTTGGAAAGCTCCTCTCTCACGCTGTGTTTGTGTGTATCACCCGGTGGAAGATGGGGCAAATGAGGAAAGTAGTGTGTGAGCCTTTGCAAGACAAACTCAGCTCATATCTGTTCATTGTCACATGGCACATAGACTCAAGACGTCTTGCGCCCCCCCCCCAATACCAAGGCAGGATATGAAAAATAAATAGGTTTTTGCTTCCCAAAGCAAACCTTGAGATTGTGATTGGTGGTTGGCAACCAAGAGTTTTGTAGGTGGTAGAGCAAACATCTTAAGAGGCACCAAATCCCGACCCCCCCCCCCAAGCTGGATCTTACCTTACCAAGGTAATTTCTGTCCATCAGGTGGCCCTGCTGTGATGGATGGGCCCAGAAGAAATGGCATGTATATAGGCCTTTGCAATGTATTTTCCATGAATTCAGATCAATTCAAGTTGCCGTTTTAGAATATTTATTGCCTGCGCAGCCAGCTAAAGTTCATCTCTTAAATCAGCACTAGAAAGGATCAACAGAACTGGGACTGTTTGTGGGAACAAAATGACTCTAGGCTGATGACTTGCTTCACTCCACCCCCACCCCGGCTCTGCCTGGTGGTACTCCTACAGAACAGTGGTTAATTAAGGACAGAAACTTACTCCTTATGCTATTAAAGAGGTCTGCCCTTGAACTACTTTGGCGAGAAAAAAATGGTTATGGTCACAGCCACCATCTTGAATTTGTTGCTACTCCACACCCCTGGTCCAGTTGTGTATCTCTTAACAGGAACCGTTGAACAGGTCGACTTTCTCCCTCCCGTAGAGGTCAGCAAGAATTTTCTGTAGTTTCTCCAAGCTCCATTCTTTTACTTCGTTCTCACTGTTTTTGGCAATGGCCGCCCACGAAGCCCTCTTATTATTATCCTTCACGCAGCACGCTGCAGACCAGATGTGGCTGGGCTTGTTGATCCGGTGGTCGGAGAGGTACTCCTTCCCTGGGACAACGCCCGCAATGACGTACATGTCAAGGCAGGCCAGAGCTTCCTTCCGGATACGGTGCTCGTAGTTTGCCCAGGAATCTTGGTTGAGTTTGCTGAACTGGGGCACGATGTTAGTCAGGGTGGAAGTGGCAGCTCGGCTGTCTTCATCCGGCTGATGGCCCACTGGGTTCAGGTGTCCCTTTTCAATACTTAAAGACTGGGTGTAATCCTCAGAAATGGCCTGGCTCTTTTTTACCATATCAGCAGGGACGTTGGCTTGACGCTCGTCCTCCATGCTCTTCCCCAAAGTGGAATCTACCAGCTGGAAGACAAATGGATGCGAGTTAGTAGCTCACAGGAAACACACAACACCAACTCAGGTTAAGGGATCAACTGAATAGCAATAGCAGTTAGACTTATATACCGCTTCATAGGGCTTTCAGCCCTNGCGATATGCTGACTCTGTAAACCGCTTAGAGAGGGCTGAAAGCCCTATGAAGCGGTATATAAGTCTAACTGCTATTGCTATTGCTATCCTGCCCATCCTTTGCAAAGGGGTCTCCTCCCTCTCATTCTCCCTCCCTGTTCTCTATTCTGTCTCTCTCTTACATTCTCTTCCTGCTCTTCCTCCTTCTGTTAGGAAACCTTTAAAGGACACTTGGGAGTTTTATTAAGCAGTGCAGTGCTGCCACCTTCTGTCTTCAGTTTAACGCCAACAGAGGTTCTGGAACAGTGTTTCTCAACCTTGGCATCTTGAAGATGTCCGGACTTCAACTCCCAGAATTCCCCAGCCAACAACCCCACCCCAGCCCCAGGAAACAACCTCATTTAACCTGAACAAACAGGTTTACCTATTCAGAAGTTCTTGCAAGTTGAGGGCGCTTCCTCAGAGCATCTGCTTTTATTGTGACATTGGACAGGCTTAATCAGAAACTTGGCATGGATTCGCGCTGTGCTCATTTCGAAGAAATCACAGCAAAGAAAGCAAACAGAAAATGAAAGTGTGGGGTGGCTTGTAGAAACACCCACAGACACCCAGGCTCCCTGGGAGGAGAATTCTTATCTGTAGCCTATTCATCTTTTAAAGCAAAGTTTTTTTTTAAAAAAAAAGCTTGGCTGAGCTGATATAGAAAAAGAGGAAGTGTTTTCTCTTTCCACATTCTGCTCTCTTTCTAATGACAGAGAGATGGCAGGATGCCAGTAATACCTCCACACAACACTGCCCAGGGCCACATTTTGGTGATATGTGTGTGTGTGTGTGTGTGTAATCCATGTAGTAGGCTTTATTCTTATTGCAATCTTTCTCATTTCTAATAACGTCTCATCTTTCCTACTATCATGTATCACCTGTTATTTGCATCTTGTGATTAATGATTGTTAACTATGATTTATGATCTATGACCTATCTATGACCTATCACATGCAGTTTTATGTACAGAGAGCTTATGCACTAGAGACAAATTCCTTGTGTGTCCAATCACTCTTGGTCTATAAAATATTCCTATTCCTATTCTCTCTCTACTCTATTCTATTCCTACTTCTATTCTACTCTATTCTATTCTTACCCTACTTCTATTCTACTCTATTCCTACTCTACTCTACTTCTATTCTCTTACAATAATAATACAATAGCAGAGTTGGAAGGGACCTTGGAGGTCTTCTAGTCCAACCCCCTGCCTAGGCAGGAAACCCTATATCGTTTCAGACAAATGGCTATCCAACATCTTCTGAAAGACTTCCAGTGTTGAAGCACCACAACTTCTGGAGGCAACTTCTGTTCCACTGATTAACTGTTCTCACTGTCAGGAAATTTCTCCTCAGTTCTAACTTGATTCTCTCCTTGATTAGTTTCCACCCATTGCTTTGCGTTCTACCCTCAGGTGCCT